GTTATGGAGGACTATGTAAGCTAAAAATCTAGAACTGGACTATTAAATTTAATGCTAATGTCACATGAGACACAAGCAATTTTTGGAATCTTAGTTTCCCCAAATTCGTAATGCACAGCTTTAAAATACTGTACACAACCCATATTAAATATAGTACATCAAGAAGTTATATAATATCCCAATGCATTAATATTAGAATGCTCTTTAACATATTAAATCCTTAGCAATGAATCATGTTTCTAGTCGTTAAGGGAAAGTCAAATGGCTTTAAAATGTTAAAGTGCTACCAAACATAAGAGTTATCAAGTCACACTTTGTATTTGTCACACAGAAAATTAGCCAGTAACACACTCGTTAAGGGGAAAAAAACGCAAATGCATGAGTATGAATCTACCTGAGTCAGAAAGTCAAGGCCCTGTCTAAAGACACATCAGCATTTACAAAAATACTGGACCGCTATGTAATTTCCACTGAACAAGGACCATTACGTTCGTCCCGCGGAGGCGCGTTAGTGACTGCTGCTGTCCACACCGAGCGTATCCAAGGGCTACGGGAGAAACATACGTACCCCCAGCGGAGCCATCTTCTCATCCGGGGTCTCTCCATGACTGCTGTTTTCTTCCAGGCTTTTCTCTCCTGTAACTCCTAACTGGGTGCTGACAAAGAACAACACAATTAGTCTGCGCCGTCCGGACCGGGCTCTCCCCGTCTCCGTCCACACTGCTCACAGTCCCAGCGGCTCTTTAGGAAGAGGCCAGGGTCAGTGGGTGCAATGCACCAACACGCAAATGGAGGTTTTATTCCATTTGCTTTCAGGTAACCTAGCAAGCTAGCTTCCCCTTTCTTTCTCTCTCCCTCTCTTTCTTTCAAATCTTTCTGAAGTCAAATTTTTGGGTCTACGTGCTGAGAAAAGCGAAACCAGAGTATTTATTTTCTTCGTTGGCTCTCAGAACGAGAGGCTACGAGCAAAAAATCAGGATTAACGTTTCGGAGGAGGAGGCCGGCGGGGCTGTTGCTCGACGTACCCACCTGAGCGGCCCGGAGCCGCCGCCTGCCCGCCTGCTCCGCTCCACCTTCTCCGCGATCCTCGGCAGCCCCCGCGCTTTGCCTTCTCGCTTCAGGCCTGAGGGAGACCGCGCGTTTCGGGCCGACAGCCGCGGAAGCCGCTCGCCGGCCCGGGGAAGCGGGGCGCGGGTGTCCCCGGGCCCGAGGCCCAGCCGCCCCTGCCGCCCGCCCCCGGTCCTGACCCGAAGGGCGGTTCGGCGGGGCTTACAGTGGCCGAGCGTGGAGCCTGGGCCTGGCGGGGCCTCCGCCTTCGCGGCTGAGCCCGGGTCTGGCGTCGGAGTTAGGTTGAGCCTCTGGCCCGCCCGCTTCTTGCGGGTGTAGACCCGCAGCGGCCACATTTCCACCCCGCCCGCCCGCGGGCCTCGGGAGCCTCTGGGCCCTGGACGGCCCGCCTCGTCGCCTTCTGGAGGAGCGACACTGCTGTCGGAGGGAGTCGGCGTCCGGGCACAGGGCGGAGCAGCCTGACAGGAACAAAGTGAGAAAAAACAAAAGCCCCGACTGGAGCCGCCAGGCCTCGCTCCGGCCTTTTATCCGGGCGGGGCCGCGCGAGGGCTGCCGGGAAGACGGAGGCGCATGGCGGCCGCCACCTCGCGGCGCCGCGTGGCGCGGGCTCCTCAGCTCCGGCGAAGAGAAGCTTCCTGGAAAAAGCCTTTTTCCGGTTCTGAAGGTGACTCCTTCACTTTTCATTTCCTCAGTAGTTGGACGGGCCCAGCACCCGCTAGGCCTTGGCCTCTCTCCTCGTCAGCGATGGCGTGTTGGGTCCCCGAGCACGGGCGGTCCAGCCAGGAGTCAGCCTCGCTCGGCGGAGAGATCCCACGGGAACCAACACACCCGAAGGAGTCGAGAAGCATCTCCCCGAGGAATCCACTGCAGCCCCTGGGCCCCCAGTTTACGGGGAGGCTGTGGTACTTGAGAGTCTAACCAAACCTGGAAGATCCTGGCCTCCGGGAGGCTTCTTCTCGAGGACAAGCAGAGTCCCTCAGCCTGTGCCCCCGAGAGCCACCCCGGGACATCCGAGCATCCCTGCGGTCAAGGTGGAAGATTCCACAGGGCGCCCAGCTACCGCCCTGGGGCTCAACTCCTCTGCTCTGCCAATTGGAGACGCACAGGAATGACCTCCCTCCATCTCTGTACACGCAGGTTGAACCATCTGGCCGCATCCATAAGCATATGGCACACACAGCAATAACCATCTTCTTATTCATACAAATGGCAACATTGCACAACATTGAAAAGTGCAGTTTGTCTAAACGAAATTACAAAACACTCAAAGATTTTTCTGTGATACCTCAATATTGTGTGTGAACAATGCAATAAAATCACTGACTTTTTAATTTAAAATCTGCTCATGGAAACATTTATGACAATCGATTTAATATATAATTAATCCTTAAAACCTAGCTTCGTAAAGAACCAAGAGTAGGCATTCTTAACCTGGTTAGATATACTGCTTTGAGTCACTGAATCAATATTTACTGAGCACCTTAATCTGTGCGAGGCACTGTGATAGGTCCGTAGTACTACAGAGGTGAATCAGAAATCGGTCCTTCAGTCAGAGATTCCACGGTTTTGCTGCAGTGTAAAGCAATTACCATCTTCCAACATCCTTTCTTTACTCAAATACGTGTAATAATATGCTGACAGCAGTCTCTAGTTTACAAGCCAGGTCCCCTGGGTCCCCTCTCTCCCTTTGGGGACTGTTGTGAAAAAACCTGGAGTTCTTAAATGCCTTTTGGAAGGTCTGAGCCCTGGGATGCCCTAGGCGTAGAAATGGAAGAAACATTGAAAAATGAAAATAGGTTAAACCGAAAGCTGATCTGCCCCTTGGTAGTCCTATTCCCTAGAACTCTGTCTCAGTATACTGAATTATATTCACCGAGGGGTCATTAAGTAAAGATTTATTGGAATTAATGCATAGGATTTCCAAACTGGAAATAAACTTTGGTATGATTTCTTTAGCCAAAAGGATCCCTAGAGATGATCTAGTTGCCCTCTCATTTTGCAACTGAGGAAACCACAACCTAGGGAAGCCTGTTAAGACAAATGGTTGGCATAGGGGACGTGGCTTTCCTGGCATTTGGCAAGTATGCTTGTCATAACGCCCATTCATCCTAACACATGGCTGGAAAAGAGGTGGGGGGAAGGACAAAGACAGGAGCTCGCAGCGCTTGGTAGCAAGAGGAGGGAAAGGAACTGGAGACAGACTCAGTCTGTTTGCAACGTCACCTAGAGGCAGCCTATAAAGGGGGAAGGAAGTGCTTCCCCTGCAGAAGGGTGAGGTAGGGCAGAGACATCCCAAAGTCAGTCGTCCCTCTATCTCCCCCGACTCCATCCCCAAATACACAAACAGTGCAAGTGTTGAGTCATGAGTGTTAAATCAAACTTCTCCATCCGTCTCCCCATTGTGCTGCTCCCACACCTACACCCGAACTCTGCCATCAGGGGGTCACTTCAACACATGACGGGTTTGACCAGGTTTGGAACCATCATGGAGATACTAACTTCCTTGGGAAAACAAATTTCAAAGAGATTTCTGAAGAAAGCTTTTTGGAAAACAGCCAGGTTGTGCACTTGGAGCCCAGAGGAAATCTTTCTGAATAACGTTTTCTTACGGAATAACTGAGCAGGTTGCTTGTGTGGTGCTATCCGTTGGCTTTAGGAGTCCAACTGAAAACCAGTTTATTTTTGCTTAGCTGACAAGAATGGAATAAATCACAGCACTTCAGGTATTGCAGTGTTGATGCTATGCAGCTTGTGGAAAAGGGACAAGGGGATTTTCCTTCGGTAGACAGTTCTTTAGCATCCACTATGGACCAGACGTGCGCTGGGCCTAAAACCTCAAGCAATTCAGTCTGCGTGGGGTGGCGCGAAGGGACCATCAAGCAATAAACCATGTGGAAAGCTTCTCAGAGAAAAGGATGCTGGAAGCTGAGTTTTAAGAGATGAATGGAGGCCAGGCACGTTGGGTCACTCCTGTTATCCCAGCACATGGAGAGGCCAGTGCAGGAGGACTGCTTGAGGACAGCAGTTCAAAACCAGCCTGAGCAAGATCAAGACCCCTCTCTCTACAAAAAACAGAAACATTAGCTGGATATGGTGGTGTGTGCCTGTAGTCCCAGCTGCTTGGAAGGCTGAGGCGGGAGTTTGAGGTTGCAGTGAACTATGATGATGCCATTGCACTCCAGCCTGGGCAATAGAGGGAGACCTTGTCTCAAAAAAACAAAACAAAACAAAACAAAAACAAAGAGGTGAATGGAAGGAGTTACACAGCGGGATTAAAGGAAAGGGCATTCTAGGAGGAGACTGTGCTCAAAGGCATGCATGGAGGCACAGGAAAGCATGACGCTTTCAGGGCACCACAAAAAGTAATTGGTGAGATTGCAGCCGAGGCTTCGTGGGGGACAGGCCCAAGAAGAGATGCTAGCCCTTGTGTGCTGAACTGGGGAGTCCGAACTTACCCTGGAAACATGGGAAGTCACTGAAGGAATATTAAGCAGGAAAGTGGCGTGACCACACTTTCAATTTAGAAAGATCGCCTGGCCGAAAAGGGGAACCGGAAAACTGAAGAAACCGGGGCAAAAAAAAGAAAAACAAGTAAAAAAACCCCGGAAAAATCCAAAACAAAAGAAGGGAACCCAAAACAAAACGAACCCCGGGCCGAAGGAAAAGAAAAGAAGAAAACAAAAAAAACGAAAAAGCAAGCCCCGGAAAAACTAAAAAACGCCGAAAGCAACAATTTAAGAAACTGTACCTAGTACTCTGTATATGAATAAAAGACATTGTGGAAAGGCTGTTTTTAAAGGCCATTATGATGGAAAGTTTGAATAGCTATTTGTTCTTTTAAAAGTATAAAAGTGATTTAAATCCAGGACACAGTTGATGATAGATGAGTTCCAACAGAGGCCTGGGCAAAGGAGAGCCTCTCGGGATGCAGCGTCATTTCTTGGAGTTTGGAAGGAACCTCACAGAGGACGTAGAGTACCTGACTAGTAATTTAGCTTGATACTGTGTTTGCCGTAGCACTAACTATGACTGATGATTACCAAATATACCGACATGAGGGGATTGTGTTATCTACATATATAAAATAGTAATTATGAACAACTTTGAGAAATGAAAAATGTTTATTTTTTACAAAAGTTTTCATAAATGCATTTTATATTTGATATGCATGCTACTCTAACAAAGCAACTGAAAATATAATTACAGCTAAGATACTTTTATTCATATTTAAAAAGTAATATTTTAATCCCCCAATTTTTAAAAATTGAAAGTAGAATAAGCAATTCTTCAAAAAATATCCATTTTCCCCCCATGCAATTGTTGCAATGACTTAACAAGAAAAATAATCAGTCAAATGAACATTTAAAAGCCACTGTCACCTCATGAAACCCTTTCTGTCTGCGACCAAGTTTAGATATGCTTGCATTCCAAGTATTTATCTATTTCCTCTGTGTTACAACCATTAATGCGTTCTAACTGAAGAATTTCTCGTTTGGAGTTTTTTCCTCACTTGAATGCTAATCTAATTCTTAATGCGGTTAATTGCAGACTCACAGAAAGGGCTATGTAGCATACTTGAGAGAAAATTCAGACTACTAGGATCCTTTTTTCTTTTCATGTAAATGCTTCCTTAAAATTAAAACCAGCAAGAAAATACAGCCAACTTATAGTTTACCAATTTTATATATGATTATCCATTCTTTTTTTCCTGAGATATTAAGCAAGTTTATAAGTAGTCTGTTTTCATGCAAAAATATATTTTCCCATTCTTTACATTCATTTTATAGCATTTTGTATTTTAAATAACTGTATCACATTTGTGCTTTATACATTTGGAAAATAAAGGCTAATTCATTTTCTTTACTGCAGAAAAGTTAAAGATTATTGGTTCCTTGATGGGTAATACAATCACAAGTAAGTGCTGATTTCAAGTAGCTAAAACACTATCTGATTGTAAAAATCCCAATGGAAAGTTCTATTTTTCTCTCATACTTGGAGTTTTAACTAAATTTAGAATGAAAGTGTGACTTGCTTGTGTGAGGGAAACACAATATGTTTAATCCTTGGACCTATGAGTCTGTGAGTTCCTTACGTATGGAGCTAAACCTACATAAACACCGGGCCAGAGCCCCCTCTCCCACCTAGAGGGAAAGCCTCATACTATATAAGACATCTTTTATGGCAAAAGGCAAAGAGATTAGGTATATATCCTACTTTATAATATACACAATAAGATTAGTTTGTAAAATCTGAGAATTACTAATACATTTGAATGAGAAACAGGTAAAAAGGCCAAATATTTAGGAACACATTTATGCTTATGGTACTGATTCTCTGTTACACCTCCAGGCGTAAATAGGATCCAACACCCAATATCAGTGTGACCGTCATAAGCACACAGCCTTTTTCTGTATCGGTTAATGAGAAACACAAACATTTTTCTCCCTCAAAATAAAGTTGGGAAATCTGAAGGAAGAAAGATTTTCCATTAATACATATTGTTTCATTTCTCATTTATTACAAAAGTGGCGTCTAACAGAGAAATAGATAAATGGACATGCAATGTACGCAGCGTTCACCATTGCTTTTCTCGGCCCCTCCACACTAACCCATTCATTGGCCCAAGTGTGATGATTTCCACACAGATCTGGAAGTCGAGTAGAAACATAAGATTTTTTTTTTAAGTGAGAAAAAGGAGAAATCTTGAGTTGTGCATGATCAATCGTATCTATTATGAAGTATAAATAGAATCGAAATAAGTTTTAAATTATTTGCATATATTACATTATTCAAAATACTTTTGGAATCAAAGTCAACTATGAAATTTTAGCTGAGGGGAAGGACAATGGGAAACAACTTTTTTGTTGGAATGTGAGGCAACTTGCCCTTAAAATAGTCTGAATATCCCATTCAGGGAACAGTTTTCACTTTTAATTAGTCAAGTGTATATATTAAGTATAAAAAAAGCTAATGCCATACAGATGTGGCCTTGGACATTTTCAGTATTTGTTTATTCAGAAATGCCTTTAAAAATCAATGTGCTTAGAACAAGCTCATTTATTAAATGTCAAATTTATAAGTGTAGCAGTGGGTCTTTGGAGAGAACACACCCAAGGAATATTTAAAAGACTGGATAAATACATCAAATGAAACCGTGGTCTTCTTTTGACCAGACTCACAAATGCATAATCACTGATGCAGATTTATCCGATAGGCCAACGTGATTATGCCGTTTTTAACTGACATTTATTTGCAAACTGCTTGTACCTCCTCCGGGGAAAGGAGCTTCCGGACTGCGAACACTGAGCACATATATTTTGAATTAACACATGAATTGTTCATATGCTTTGAGAGTTCTGTCTCTCCAGAAGAAAAATACTTTCCCAGGGCCGTGCCTTTTTCAGATGTGCATTCTATAGCTTAGAACTTAATTGCAGTCTATGGTATCTGGGTTTTAATTATATAAAATTGTTGGCACTCCAGTACAAGGTATGTCTAAATACATAATACAAGAAAGGAGGTTCTCGTGGTTAAACTTAGAAGCATTTAAAGATTTTAGGAATGGAATTATGCCATCAGGAGATACTTCTCGAACTCCTGGCTTCAGGGGATCCTGCAATCTCAGCCGCCCAAAGTGCTGGGATTACAGGCGTGAGCCCCCGTGCCCAGCCTGGAGATGTTTCTCTATGATGAACTTACAAAGTTTTGTCGGGGCATTTTGAAGAGGTTCTTCAAAATTATGTTGTCAAAAAAATATTTCCTCTGTAAATAACATCCCCTCCTCCCCACATCCTGCCTTGATAGTCTTGCTGAAAGAAAGTGAAATTGTTCGGAATTACAGCCATATTGGGTTTAACAGGCATGGCGAGGACATGTGGAGAATGGAAACTAGAAGATCCCAACAAGGATACAGGTATGTTAATTGCTGCCCACCCTGAGAAATAACTGAGTTTCTTCTCCCAAGTCTCCCTTAAGGGTCCATTCATCGTAGAGTCAACAGATATCTTTCAGAATTTATTATGGTAAGAAGCCCATGAATATATGCATACTATCCTTGAATCATTTTACATTACATTTTTTCTAGGTAGTTCCTGAATATTTTAATGAGCTTAAAGAATGGGAACATAAATTGAAAGATCTTTGTAAATTATAGTTTGTTATATAAATATAACATTTGTTTTAAGAATATCTGAATTTGCATTTTCATGAATAAAAGTAAAAATCAGAGAGAAAACTTTCTCACATATGTCAAAATGGACCGTCACATTTAAAGAATCTGAAGTTATGCAGAATGTGTTACCATGTTTTGTTTTAGCATGATTCTGTACACCTAGCTTTAACTTTTAAAGTCTGATTTCATTGCGATTTTGACAATAAGTTGTTGAATGAGGTAGTCCACACTGCCTAGATATTTGCTGTATCTGGTTACTATTCCACAAATTATTAAGTACAGTATATCAGTTACATTTTTCCTTTATGTTTAATAGGAGTTCTGTGAACACTGAGAATATATTACTTTTAGTGGTACACAGTTCTTGAGAAAAATATCTTGATTTTTACATTGCCATTTGCGATATTTTTAGCAGCCCGCTACAATATCATTTTAATAAAAATAAAGTGTACTCGGTGATGATAGAGAAAATATTGTTAAAGACTTCTCGGAACAGGAAAAGGCTCAGTCGTCAGATCAGGTACTTATTCGTGCTCAGCTGTGTCATTCCGACTCATTACTTTCAAGAATGACTATAATATTGCTACGCAGTCCGTTACACTGAGAAGAACTTTCCTTGAACTTCACATGGAAATTGAGTAAAGCTCTTCTATTTCTTTTTTGAAGTACTCTCTCAGCTCAGGTCTCTTAGCCTTTAGTGTTGGCGTCAGCAAGCCGTTCTGAACTGAGAACATGTCAGAATGGACGTGAATGGCTTTAACCTAAAAACCAAACGCAGAACACATCTTTAACAGGACTAGAACACAGCATTTACAGTGTACACGGTAAAAGTGAACCGGCATCTGGGAATAGATAAATCCACACGCAAACAGCATGCTGAGTCAAATTGTTCATAACATTTCAGCCCATTTGACATATCTAAAAGCCACCTTTGTCTTTTTTTACTAATACCTTGCTCTTGGAATAAAAGCCACCGTTTTCCTCCCTACTCATCCATGTAGCCAGTCAACAGAAATGAATGGGTTGCTTGCTCTGTGTATCTTTGAGGATACGAAGAGGAATCTGGAAGGCCCTGCCCTCAGGCAGTGCACGTTCCTATCCAGCAGCACAGGGACACGGGCGATTATCCGTGTGGTGCCACAGGACGAAGGGCACCTAGCTCAGTCATGGGAGGGGAGAGGAAGGAGCAGCCAGGGAAGACCTCCCACATCAGGTGAGTGTCAAAGAATGAGCAATAGTTACCCAGCAAAGGGGGAGAGGAGGGTGGAGAAGGGCATTACAGGCGGAGGCAACCCCAAGAGCGAAGCCCTGGGTGGGGAGAAATGGCAGAGTGTGAAGAGCGAAATCCAAGTGGTTTCCTCTTGTTGTATAAAACAGGAGGTGAGGGGTGTGAGGGATGAAGCCGAAGTGGGAGAGGGGCCGGCTATGGAGGAGCTCGGCGTTACTCCGAAGACAATAGGAAGGTACTGAAGGTTTTTAAACAGGGCAATGGCAACGCACATTTTAGAAAGATCTCACCAAGAGAAACGGGAAGATGGTTTTCGAGAAAGTGAAGATTGGAATCAGGGCAGCTGATCGGAAGGATCTGGCCTATCCACGAGAAAGAAGCTAAGAGCGTACACTCAGGGCAGCAGCAGAGAAAGAGGCAGGTGAACAGTTCTGATGGTTCAGAGATAAATTGGCAAGATGGGGCAGAGCGGCAGCAGCCTGGAGCACTGCCCAGGGTCTGGCTCCGGTGGCTGCAGAGAGACAGTGGTTCCATTCACAGGAGAATGTAAAAGTCTGGGGAGGACATGAGGAGTCCAAGTTTTAAAAATGTTCTGCCATGGAATTTTTAGCAAATCTATTGGATGGGGGCATGGAAGGTCCAGACTTAGTGTTCACATTGCTTATTTCCATGAGGAAGACGCCAGGCCTCTTCATACGGTCTCTGTGGAACACGGATGGGGCCCAGAGAGGAGAGGCTGACCCAGGAGGGCCTGGGCAGGCTCCTCCAGCAGAAAGAGGGTCACAGTCAGTTCTCCAAGACTTTTATGATCTGAGCTTGGACTGAATCCTGGAGTGACACCATCTCTGAGAAAATGTATCCCGGGTGACAAGTGGAATCAAATTCAATGATTTTTTTGAAAAAAAAAAACCAAAACAATAAAAAAGGAAAAAGGGTAACAAATGACGGAAAGAAAAACTAAAAAAAATTAATTAAAAATATATGTTAAATACACATACACATTCACTTGTTGTTTTGTGTAATTGGTATTTATTGAGCAGCTACTATGTGTCAGGTATTACGTTAGGCTCAAGGATACAAAGAAGAACAAGATACAGTCCCTGTCCACACAGAGCTTACGATCTAATGAGAGATGCTGCAGTATGCTACCATTCTGGGGACAAACACAGAGAAGGCAGAGCCAGTTGTTTCTCCAGTACCTGCTCCCCACGTCTTCCACGCTAATAGAACCCTGATTTGGTTTGAGGCCAAAACAGTCTATGTCAGTCGTGACGGTCCTGCTCCCTGATTTCCCAGCTTCCCTTGCAGCTAGGAGACAGCAAAGAGATCTATCTGTAGCTAGTGAGAAGGGAACGTTTTTGCTTTCCTAATAAAAGATTTAGACTTGGCTATCTCCACCCATTCTCTCTTCTTTCTATCTTGAACGTGGACAATGTCCAAAGCCATCGCAGTCACCTTGTGATCGTGAGGCCATAAGCCAGCATATTAATACTAAGAATGACGAGTGGAACGACAAGAAGAACTAGGTCTTTGAGGACCTGCACCTACCTCGGACCACTTATCTTTCAACTTCTTCCGTGAGGGGGGAAAATCCCCAGCCTGGTAAGTTTAAGGCCCTGTCAGTCAGGTTTTTGTCAGAGCTGAAAGCATTTCTGATACGCCACCTAACCCAGGCTTGGGCAGGATGAATGGGAAAAGGAAGCTTGGACTGAGCTTTGAAGGATAAGGGGGCTTTAGCCAGATAAAGATAGCAAGGGGGAGACGGGGTGGCTGCCATGTGGCCTAAGGGGAGGAAGGTGCTCGCGGCAGAGGCAACCTGTGCCAAAGCACGTCTGAGATATCACAGTGCAGCTGCCGCCTGTGGCACAATGAAGAGGAGATGAGGCTGGAGACATAGACTATGGCCGAATTATAAAGGATCCGTATACCTAGCTAAGGAGTGGGGCATGATTCTTTTAAACAGTTTTTAAGCAGTGAGAAACAGAACCAGAATGGCTCTTTGGAGAGACGACTCTGTTCAGAACGGACTGAAGTGGGACAAGAGCGGAAACTGGAAGATGAGCCAACAGGCAAGACAGGTGGTGATTTGGACTATGAAGTTGGCTGCGGAAATGGAAATAGATTTGGGGGTAGAAAGGACAGGACTTAGTAATTGGTTTGGATAAGGGGTAAAGAAAGAGAGATAAAAATAGCTCTGGGCTTCTGCTTGAGCAGATACTAAGATGTCAAAAAATGGAGGAGGAGCAGGAAGGTTTTTGGGGGGGTGGGAAGAGCATGCACTCACGTTAAGTTTGAAATGCTTCTGATACCTCCGGGTGATCTTTGGACACTGGACATATTAGTGTGGAGGACAGCTGCACCCTGGGCTTAAGACAGAGAAGAAGGACTTGAGGAGCAGAAGGAACCAGAGTGTGAGTCACAAAAGCAGGAGAAGAGTAAGAGGTCGCAGTGTCAGAGGCTGCTGCCACATGAGAACTGTCCGTAAAATCCACAGACACAATGTGACAAAACGTATTTGAAAAATCAATGTCTACAAGTTGCAAAAACTCAGTAGGTCAACGATTGTTTTCAAAATCTCTGCTGCTAACAGTCTAGTGTCCTGGCAAGTTGGTATTATTTGAGATGAAATAATTCTTTGCTCAGAGAATTCTCTATTACATTCACTGACATTTTCAAGTCAAAAACTAGATATACAAAGAAGATCCCTAAAATAGCTATACCTCCAACTTTTTAAAAAGCTATTAAGAGAAATTATAACAAATTCTGGCATTTTTAATCTCATTAACAAAAGAAGATGGATAGACGGCTAACATTTACCAAAGGTCTCTATGTGATACTGTTTCTATCAAAGTAGAAGCTACAAAATATACAATACAAAGAAGATAAATTTCAGAGGGAGAGCTATATAATGCTATTTAGATGGTTAAGTAGAAATATAAAAGAAAACATGATCTTAGGAGGAAAAAAACTGCATCAACAGGTAGATTTTGAACATCCGTCAAACCAGCTACCTGCAGCAAACCTAAAGGGCTGAGTGTGGCCGTCTACACAATAATTGTGCCAGTGAAGAGGCGAAATTATTAAACACAGCCTTGCAGAAGACCAAGCAATATGACAGCCTGCACTGGGCTCACCGTCCAGTCCCTGAGTGAGTGGATCAGAGAGGCACTGCTGCCAGGCTGCCAGTCCCTGCTGTGGTCTGACCTACAGCCCTGGCTCTATTTAAATCCTTCCATGAAAAGACCTGTGCAGCCTGCTTGAGTGACAAAAAGTCTAGTCAGTGAGTAGAAAAGATAAGTTGAACAAGTTGTTTGACTGACACTGACCCTAACTGTGGGCCAAAAACCTATAGTTTCTTTCAGAAATAAATCAACAATAAAAAAGTTGTATTTTCTATAATAATTATAT